TATGATAAAAGCAGAAAAGTAAAAGTGATAAATGTAAATCTTTTTATGGTGATGTGTAAATCAATTTCATCTGAAACTTGCTGATGCACTCAAAACACTGATTAAACAAGTCAAAGGCAATAATTCTGGCAGTACTTTGTGTCCTTGATGTCAAAGCTGTGTATGTTTCTTTCATACTGCATGTATGATCTCTGGAGTCTTACTTACCTATTTTCTTTCTGTTTGAGCTACGTCTTATACATCACTCCATTATTGACAGCAGATAACAGACCTTGTTTGCAGGAGCAATTCACTAAAACACTGGTAATGTGACCAGTGAACTTTTCTTTTCGCTCTTAGTCATAATGTGGTATGGAGTGAAGTATATGAAAAAAAAAAAAAACATTCATTCATTTTCTTTTTAGCTTAGTCCCTTTATTAATCAGGGATCGCCATAGCGGAATGAACCACCAACTTATCCAGTATATGTTCTACCCAGCGGATGCCCTTGCAACTGCAACTCATCACTGGGAAACACCCATATACTCTAATTCACACACATAGTGTACACTACAGACAATTTAGCTTATTCAATTCACTTATAGTACATGTCTTTGGACTGTAGGGCTCAAACCAGCGACCTTCTTGCTGTGAGGCGATCGTGCAACCCACAAAGTTATACAACAATTTTGGTATTCATTTTTAGTATTACATTATTAATACAGACAATTATTAATTCATGGCATTTTAGCATAATTCTGAAAAATAACAGTTTATGACACAGTAAGAGATGAATTAATATATGAAAGTACTGTAAATTTTCCACTAATATCACAAATTAATTTCCCTCAAATTCTGTTACATTGTAAAATTATATTTTTTAGGATAAAAAACTGCAATGGCTGCAAGCTGTTCTTACAGGGTTACGAGATCTGGCTGCATTTACTGTAAATGAAAAGTGAAAGTGATATAAGGCAAGGCCTTAACATTTGCCTTTACACTGCACTTCTGCTGAACTTTGAATAGTCTCAGGTTCATGTGTGATAATGACTTTAGGTAAATTAAGCTATTTTCACAAGAAAATTGTATACCATGGAGATAAGTGTTACCTATTTAACTGCATACTGTTGGGAAATAGGAAATTAAGATTAACTGCAAAATGTGTCAATGTACTGTAAATTGAACATTACAACTGATGGTTATGTGATGTGCTAATGCTTCTCTCTTTTGCAACAAAACGTGATGTTTGTTAACGCTTATATGTGCAATTTAAGGAAACTTGCTGCATCACTCAAAACGAACCCAGAATGTTTTCTTCAAAACAACCAATCAGATAATTTTGTTAGAGCAGACTGCACAGAAGGAGGGAGATTCAGACCACCGCTACAGCTGCCTCTAATGTAAAGCATATACAGTATTTTAAACTCGCTTCAGGTCAATAAATAAATACATAAATGATTACAATGTGTATAGTCAGTTCGTTAGAATAGTCTATGGATATGTTGTGATCACAAGCGTTGTTGTCTCTGCTGAAGATCACTTCCTTATAGCGCCAAACTACAACTGCCAGAAATCATTGCACTCATCACTCCTGCCAGAGCTGACAATCATCCGGACACTAACACACACACAGCTGAAACTCATCTTGGAATAATTATGGCACTATAAATACACCTCACTCACACACACTTTGCTGAGTCTTGTTTTCCAGCGTTATTTGTGTCTAGCCTTGCCATGTTTTTGACCATTGCCTTGTTTTACCATTCATTTTGTTTTGCCACCTGTCATGACCATTTGCCTGTTTTTGACTTTGCTCGTTAGATTACCTGTTAGAGTGCCTGTTTTACCTAGCCTGTGTATGACCTTCACAAAATAACCTCTGTTGTCAACCCAACTCATTACAATATGACACCACTATTCTATTTTTTCTGTTATAGAGCTTTATCATAGAACACAGAAATACCCATTATGCTTTGCATGTAGGCCTTCACATAGGGAGGAAGCTCAAAACTTGTAGTTGGCTGGTTGTAATCTGTTTTACTTGCTTTTGTTGTCTGTAAACTAATATTGCTGTTGACCAGCACCACAGCGCCCAGGCTCATTCTGAAAACATACCCATACGTATGGATAATATACATTTCTGTAAAGCGCCAAATACATCACAGGAGGTACTTTTTGCAGTTTTTGTTTTCACGAATCCACCAGGGCCTGCAGTTGAATGACTAACTGTCTGCCGGACTGACTGACTGACTGACTGACAGACAGACTAACTGACTGAATGACTGACTGACTGACCGATCGACTGACCCACCCTCCTCCTTCCCAAAAAGCAACAAATAGTGTTTTCAAATGCACCGATTAATGCAGCCGTCCACACGGAGGCAAACAGTCAGCTGGTAAGCGCAAAAAGGAACGGCGTCATACCACCCCGTAGCATTTGTTTCAAAGACGAAATGCAGCCATACGTACCTCTGGCTACATATCCATGATCTCCAGAAATGTACATAGTGTGACGTTTTCAGAATGAGCCTATGTTGGCACTACCACCAGTATGGAATATTTTAATGGGTCTTTAAATTTTACCCTCATTATTAGATTTTACCTTGTGCTATTTAAATAAACCACTATTTGTCATTACTAACATGACCAATACTTACTTACCCCCAGGGCCATTTATATCGAAGTTTATATTTAGCCGCACCATGTTGGTGTTTCGCAACATCTAGTTTTTATGAGGTGGGTTGTTAGCCCAACACTCAACCCCCAATCTGGAGAACCAGGACATACACACTAGGGACAATTTAGCTTACCCATTTCACCTACAGCACATGTCTTTGGGCTGTAGGGGAAACCGGAGCACCCGGAGGAAGCCCACAACAACATGGGAGAACATATAAACTCCACAATGAAATGGCAACTGACCCTGCTTTGCAATATATCTGCAAATGTCGACAGCGCTACCCACTGCACTACCGTGTTGCCCCAACATGACCAATATTTTACTTAAATTTATAAACCCAAGCAAATGTAGTTTATTTAAATGTCTTACAAGTTCTTGCAAGTATCTTTATTAAGATACACTAACTGAAGAGTGCCATTTTGAAGTTGCAGAAAAACACATACAGGTACCAAGGTAAATTCAAACATGAACTAAACGAAACATGGAAACTCTTCATGAAATTATACATCACTTTCTTCAATTTGAGTTATTTAATAGTGGTGGTTTATCATGAATCTGTTCTCGTTGTCAGTTTATAGTGTTAGTGTAGAATAATGAAACTCATTTCTAGTAAATGGGAAGTGAATGAAATCACTGTTATACTCAAAGCACCTTCAGACAAATAACAGATCATTGGCAATCATTAATTTTGTCTGAACAGGCAGCACATGAAGTGATCTTTACACAGAGTTTGTTCTTGATAAGATATATCAACAAGAAGGGTATTCAGTACAATGTGCAGTGCAAGCTTGCTGTTCAGTTATTTTAAGCAATTATAAAAGTTAACCAATTTAGATAAAAGCTAATCCAATCAGTTGTTTTCTCTGTTGACGTTATGAATTGCTTACAAGATTTGGGTGAATTTACAGTAAATGGAAACTGAAAGGGATTTAAATATGAAAGTGAAACTGAAACGTTAAACTGCACAGTCATGCCCCTCCACTCCATGAAAGTGCATGCTGACAAAATAAAAGATCAAATCAATTGCACAATATTACTAAACGTGTAAATGTATTCTCATTTATTAAAAGTCAGAGCCTCCCCTCTTCTTAAAGAGAACCCCTAGGTATCAAGTCGTGTATATATTATTATAATAAAAATGAAGCCTCTTTGTGAAATATGTACAAAAAAAAAATGACTCTTTAGTTTAGGTCACAATTCATGGTACCAAGAATATTAATACCAAACCATTGGCTTAATAAACTCCTAAATACACTGAAAAAAAAAGACATTTTTTTGCAAAGTGGCTTCACAACAACTCTAGAGCCCTGACTTAAACCCAATTGCTTAAATCCATGGCTGTATTAGAACAAAAGGGTGATTTTAATACACAGCAAAGGGTCTGAATATTTAGAACCATGTGATATTTCAGATTTTATTTTTCAATATATCTGCAAAAAATGTCAACAATTCAAGAAGGTCGCTGGTTCAAGCCTCGGCTGGGTCAGTTGTCATTTCTATGTGGAGTTTGCATGTTCTCTCCATGTTCGCGTGGGTTTCCTCCGGGTGCTCCAGTTTACCCCACAAGACCAAAGACTTGTGGTACAAGTGAACTAGGTAAGCTAAATTGGCCATGATGTATGAGTGTGAATGAGAGTGTATGGATGTTTCCCAGTGATGGGTTGCAGCTGGAAGGGCATTCGCTGCGTAAATCATATGGTGGATAAGTTAGCAGTTCATTCCGCTGTGGTGACCCCTGATTAAAAAAGGGACTAGGCTGAAAAGAAAATGAATTAATATTTCTATTCTACAAAAATACCACAAAAATAATTCTTTAAGGTTTTATTTAGTATCACACAGACTTTACACCATACAGAAGCATCTTTTTTCAATTATATTTATGCTTGTATTTTCTACTTGAAAACTAATCTAAATTGCACAGTCCTCTTGTACAAAATGACAGTTATTATATGTGTAAAGAAGTAATACTGATTAACATGTTAACACTCTGCCTACATATGCTGGAGGAGTTTAAAATAGCTTATAATTGGAATATACGATGGCACCATATCAGTAACTACAATACCATTAACAACATTTTGAGTCCAGAAGAAGAGCTGCTACATTTTTAGTGCTCAGAAATGTTCAGGAATAGACAGTATTTTAGCTTAAACTTAAAACACAAAAGTACAATACTGAAATTGGACCATCACATAGAAGTACTCTTACTTTATTGTTATTGAGTTTAAAGGGATTGTTCACCAAAAACATTAAATTCTGCCATCATTTACTTACCCTTTACTTGTATCAAACCTTTATGAGTTTCTTTCTTTTGTTGAACACAAAAATATAATATATTTTGAAAAATGTTTGAAATCCTGTAGGATTGACTTCCATAGCATTTGGTTTTCCAATGAATGTGGTTTCTGAATTACAGCTTTCTTTATCTTGTTTTGTATTTAACAGAATAAAGTGTTTTATAGTGTTTTTTTTTTTTTTCAATTAAACATACATTTTTAGAAATGTGACACAGCCAACTTGTCAAAATTCTGACAGTCATACTGTGCGTGTGTGCCATTTTAAAGGGTAGACTATAATGCATCATGCTGTATATAACGCCTACTAAGATGATAGCATGCTTTAAGTAATTGATCATTATTTTCAGCTAATCAGAACAATGTGAAAAACCATGGCTCAGTCTCTCATTAGCAGTACAAACTATCTGTTGAAATGCATTGAGAATCAGCACATCAGCAACATCATTAGTTTGAGTTTCCTCATGGTAGTTCTTCACAGGAAAAATCAAGTTCATGGGCACGCCAATTTTGCTGTTGCACATCCTCACCTGGACAGAAACAAAATAAATATTTGTTTGTAAAACTACAGAAATCAGCATGCAATGTGTGTGTAGATGATTAAATGATTTACCGCCTCTCTGATCTTCTTGCTGTAAAAGACCTTCTGTAGATCCTTTTTGACAAGCGGACACAATTCATCCACTTTAGTCAGGACAACCACTTGAGGAATCCCTGCAACAAATGTCAATCAATCAATAAAACAAATATAAATACTGTATTTTAATAACTTCTAACACATTCCCTTGTTCTTATTTTGCAAAAACAAGGGGAAAAATTATCTGGCCACACTTTATTTTAAAGGTGCTGTATGTAAGTTTGACAAGCAGAAATTGAACTAGGTATTGCACCTCTGGTTCAAAACACACCCAAGAGCATGTTGCCATGATGACACCAACCAACGCTGATTTAAGCCGTGTACATAAAAGCAACGGCATGCGATAGAAGGAATATTTTCCATAATAAAAAAAAGTTTTTGTCCTAATCAACAACTGAAAATGATATTTTAGAAACGGCTTCTATTTCTTGCAGCTAAACAACAGAAAACTGTGTTAAATGTTAATAATGTAAGTTTGAATGACATTTCACAAGACATTTATTGCCGTACTAATGAATGCAGCAGCATATAGTTCACCTCAGATCTTGAAAATAAAATAAACCATTTGAAATTGAACTTGTGGACTGTGACTCCAACACATATGAGTGATTCAGAATGTACATTTAATAATGTTAAAGCGGTTTAAATTGTATTAATGATACACATTTTGTAAAAGATTATAAACCTACCATTTTGTTGGAGTGCAGTGAGGGCATATTCTGTGCTCCTGAATGGCTGTATCTACATTTCTGTCGTTTCGTCTGGTTCAAACAGCCAAATTGGTTATCTCTTCAAATCTCGTCAGATAGTGTGTTGTTAGGACACAGGGTTACATATAACCTGCTCACCTACTGTTTACGTTTGTAATGTTTATGTTATTGGCTAATTAACAACCACCTCATGTGGAACTCTGAATCTGCGTCTCATTTTGGAGGCTGTTACTGTCCACCGGAGGTTTTAATTCAGTCATGGACGGACACTTTGAGAACCTTCATGACTGACTGAATCCCACGACAACCCTTGGTGCTGAAGTATAATTGGCTAAACCGGCATTGGGCGGGTCAAAAAAAAAAAAAAAAAAAAAAAAAAACAAAGACAGATGTTTGCACAATTTCAAAGCAGAACATCAGACTTTAGCACTGATTTTCAGATAAACAAGAATGTTCACTTATATAACATCTGCAAACATATTATGGTATTTTTAGCTTTAGAAGAGTCAAAACTTACATACAGCAGCTTTAAGGTACAACAAGACTTTTAGCTCAATACACTACAAATGTAATTTGCTAATTAGATATAATTGATTAAAAGTTAGTAAGGTAGTAGTTGGATTTAGATTTCGAATAGGATTAGGGAATAAGATCGTACTTTAAGAATTATTAATCAGCAATGCCTTAATAAAATGCAAGTAAAAAAACTGTTGTTAGTGAGAATTTGAACTTAAGCTAGATGCTAGGTGCACTGACATTTTTATGTTTAGAAAAAATGTAATAAAAAGTCATGAAAAAAATGATACAAACTTTTACCTTCATCACTGATTCTCTTACGGATGAGCCTCAACTTTTCGATCAGTATATTATCATTTGAGCTGAACTGGATGGTATTGGCATCTACGACATACACCAGGCAGAATGCTTGATCTGACAATGAAGGTGTTTCCTTGTATGATTCATTTTTGTGACCAATTGGATTCTCTGTGAACTATGTGAAATGCAAACAAAATATATTTACAAATGTGAGATTGTTCAAAAACTCATTTTAAACGGAATTAATGTACTTAATTTCTGATTGAAATATAACCTTGTATCCCTCCTTCACATGGCCATGTATGGTCTTGACAACATCATCTGGTTGAATCCCAAGTAAGGTGTGCGGTTCTAAACCCATGATGTCACAGATTTCAAACGGCAAATCTGCATCTGCCCTTCTGATGCGGTACGCTTTCAGCTGTGAACAAAGACCAAGAAATATAGCAAAGCAGATATTTGTAAATATCACACAGTTTGACAAACAATTATTGCAATGCTTGTGATTTTAAAATAATGTCTGGTTAGGTAGTCTTAAAATTGTAGCAGGTCTATTTCTTTAGTTCTATGAGCATTTTTATTTTAGTGTTGTGACAATGGTACCAATACTGTGCAATATAGGAGTGAAATACTTACTGTTTGTGTGAAACTGTGACTGATTGCTGAATCCGAAGCATCAGTTTGTGCTACACTGATTATTTTTCCCTGAAAGGCACTAACAACTGAGTTAATAAAGCTGGACTTTCCCGCTCCAATTTGTCCAGCTACCAGGATCTTAATGTGTGTAAGACTTTGACTTTTCAACTGAAAATATTCAAGATGTTCCTTTAGTTTGTCCTTCTCTCTGCAAAAGACAAGATATACATTTGTGCATTAAATAATACACTCATGCTTTGTGTATGTTTTTTTTTTTTTTTTTTGTAGATATATTGGTTTTGGGGATTATACAATAATTAGTGTACAAACAAAAGCATCCACATAACCTAATTTTATATAGTCTTGCACATTGGTTATTTGTGCAGGGCCCAGCATAAATGATGCAACATTGAATCACGTTTAGTTTCTTGCACATCACACTGCTGGCTGCAGTTAGACGAGAAAAGCCATCATGTGCTTTTGCCATTGTACCAAACTGCTTTTTTTTTTTATCTGTTCCCTGAACCATCCACATGAAGCCGTACCAACCTGTAGCATTCATTTTACACACAAAATGTAGCCATTATCTACCCCGATGCACATATTTCCCAGATTCTTACAAATGTACCCCTGGGCATATTTTTTCCAATGATCCTGTGTTGTATTTATATAAATATCATTCAAATTTATACGACTAAACATAAGACTTAAAACAAATATAGAAGATTATATATAATAAATACGAATAAACATTTGTCCACATATAACTTACCCCCAGTCGAAGTTTCTCCATGGTTGATCCAGTTCTGTAAAAAAAAAGGTTAATAATGATAATAGTTAATAATAATAATAATTCCTTAACAATTATATTTCTGGACACTTGAATCATTTTACAAATGTTGGGGGAAATCTCCTCAACCCCCACTAGTGTGCAGCATCCACTGGGATGAGATGATAGCAGCCATTCAGAGCACAAAACACACCAGATTATTGATGATGGAGGCTAGTTCACTGTTGTCCAATGACTTAATCTAACTTAATTTACCTAATAACCTAGTTAAGTCTCTTAATTGCACTTTAGGCTGAATACTAGTGTCTAATTAAATAACTAGTAAAATACTATCATGGCAAAGACAATGTATGTATGTATATATATATATATATATATATATATATATATATATATATATATATATATATATATATATATATACACACACACACACTTTTTTTACGTTTTTAAAAATTTGTTATCAATTATTTAAAAATGTGTTGAAAATCTTCTCTCCTAACTTGGGAAGAATTTCTAAAAGAGTTACAATTTTACAGGAGAGCTAATAAATTAGCACTCAATCTGTATGTCATTAAGTAGCAGACACTTTACTGAATTACACGCACTGGCTTAAAAGAATACCACTGGAGAAAATTTGTGATAAAATCATTAAAAACAAACAAAACAGGCTTTCCTCCTTTCTCTTGCTCGATGTCATGGACATCAGATGTACATTGCTGATTAATGAGGTACAGTCTTCACTGCAGCGCAGCTGTTCTATTTGCTATTTCATTAAACAGAGATTAGCCTGTTACAATAACCTGTACATCATGATGTAATTGTAATTTTGTTAAACAGCTTGCCTAATGATTTTGTGCATTTATGGTCAGATGAAAATTTATTAAAAGGATATATAACATTACAAGATGTTTAAAGAATTATCATAGAAATAATAAGTTGCACTTACCCGGTGTTTCTGCTGGTTTTGATGGTGAACCTCCCATTTTTTCTACGTTTTTTAAATAATTTCAGCAAATAAGCAAGCTTAGCTGTAGAAACACACAAGCGTTTTTTTTATTTTTTATTTTTTTAAATAAACGAATCTACCATTTAATGAACCGTGTTTTCATTCTTGGGATGTGTGAGGGTATTGTGACGGCAGCTCTTAGCGATTAGGTATTTATAGAGGTTAGGTTAGGGTTAACCCTTACTTTCAATTTCACTTCATAGAACGGGGGGTTTCTCTCAGCTCTACTGCAGCAAAACAATACCGTAATGTAAAAAAGACCCACTCACCATGACACAGCTTAGTAGACTAATCCCATCACTGCATGGACATATTTACGTTTTACAGAAAACATTAATCATCACACATCAAATCTTTATAATGTGGTAATGCATCACCTAATAACTGCAAAACAAACAAACAAACAAACAAACAAACAAACAAACAAACAAACAAACAAACAAAAAACAAATCCCACATCCCATACCAAATACAATACAGAAGAGCTGAATGCATTCATATTATGGAATAGTTAGATAGGAAATGTTTATCAGTATATATAGACAATAAACATAAATGTAACAATTAAACATTTTATTGACTTTTTAAAAAAAAAATTTAAAAGTAAACCTACAGTATGTGTAAATATATGCATAGGCCTGTGTGTATGTGTGTGTGTGTGTGTGTGTGTGTGTGATTACATTCAAAATGACACTACATGAGCTAATCGGCCACCGATTAGCTCATGTAGTGCCACCTGCCACCTGCCAAATACATCAATGGTTAATTGTTAACACTTCAATCAGGATTTAAGCACTATATAAAGACCACAGGTGGGAACCTTTTTTTTTTTTTTTTTTTTACAATTGAAGACATTGCAGAGAGAGGAAGAAGAAGGAGGTTGAGAATAAGAGGGAGAGGAAGAGTGAGAGGTAAGGGTAGAGCCGGTAGAGGACTTCATGGCCAAAGAAGACAAACACTTTCAAATGAAATCAGAGCAACCTTAGTAGATCACGTCATTAACCATGGTCTGACAATGCATGTGTCTGGACAGAGAGTGCAGCCTAACTTGAGTCATTGAACTGTTACCTTTGTCATCCAGAGCTGCATGCGCCATTCATGAACTGTACAAGTTTCCTGCACAATGTACTCTACTGTGAGGGAAAAGTTTAGCCTGCATTGTCCCAGCCCTATATATAAATGAATATAAATAAAAAATGTGGCAACAGTGTGTGTTTGTGTATCTGAAAATATATATACATATTTTAACAATATGGCAAAGCATCCTAAAGTTGGGGGTGCTTTTCATTATGCCCAACAGTGTGTAGTTGGTTATGCAAAAATTTTTGATAAGATTGATTTTAAAAATGCTGTGTGTAGTTTCGGTTGCAGTGCTTCATTTTGCAGGATATATTGTATGAGGTATTTTGCAGTTTGGGTGCGTGGTTTTGTGAATTGTGTTAAGTATTTTGATAAAACAAGACTAGTTTGAAAATTTGTGTTATTTTATAGGGTGCTTAAGTCTTTTTCAGAAAGTCCTCGTCTTATTTACTGTTGGGGTTTAGGACAATTTTGCTAATAATAAACAAATGCAATTTGTAAATGCTAATGACAAGTGAAATCATAATAGATTTTTTATGTGCTGTCCTAATTTAGTTAATTTGGTACTTTTGAAACCCAGGCTCTCATTAACAAATGAAAGTAAGAACAGCAGAAAGTAAAAGTGAAGGCTTTTTGGTAGGTTGTGTGCTGAAACACTCAAAACAAACCCAATGGGCTTTCGTCCAACCAATCAATCCAATCATTGTCTCAGAGCTGATTACAAAGAAGGAGGAAAATTCAGAGCGCAATTGCTTCTAACATAAATTATATTCTTGAACACGTTGCAACTCATGCCTCTTGATACCCTACCATACATCATGCAATGTGGTGCCAGGTGTGATTCAAGTGTTTTTTTTTTTTTTTTTTTGCTAGTTTCAGCCCATGGCAGGTCTTATGTGCCACGTTTAGTAGCTAACAAAATGTCTGGTAAACAATTGCTACTTTATTAAACTGCACAAGTGAAATGCACAGCAGCAAATAAATTTATTTCAGCATATACTGTTGAATTCAAAAGTATTAGACCCCCTGTTTATTTTTCACAATTTTTGTTTTAACAGAGAGAAGATTCTCAACACATTTCTAAACATAATAGTTTTAATAACTCATTTCTAATGACTGATTAATTTTATCTTTGCCATGATGACAGTAAATAATATTTTAATAGATATTTTTCAAGACACTTCTATACAGCTTGGGGACATTTAAAGGCTTAACTAGGTTAATTAGGTTAACTAGGCAGGTTAGGGTAATTAGGCAAGTTATTGTATTATTGTCGGGATATTAAGGAAACCCAAGCGCACGGGAGTTAAAGAAAGTTTATTAAACAGGAGTGGATCAAAATTCTGTCTTTAAAGCAGTATGGGGAAAAGTCACTCAAATGTAATAGTAAGAACACAGGCAGTCAAAGTATATGGCCCTCCTCTGGGCGATGCTCTTCTGTTTGACTAGTCCAGCATCTTAGCAAAACAGTGGAAAACAATGAAACAGACCTCAGGCAGGTGAGCTGATGAGTTGGCTTCGTTCAAGCACAGACTGTGGGCAGAGCAGAGGTGAACCAATGAACAAATAGGTTGGGACCGGATAGGACAAGACGAAATACACAAGGTTAAAGCTTTATTTAGGACAGGTAGCTCACACAATACATAGACAAAACAATTATCAAGCACAGAACGAGGGAGAAGGGGAGACTAATTAGCCAAATAATCAGGGAGAGTAATGGGGACGGGGAAACAAGGGAATTGCTTACAGGTAAAATTGCATAGCCAACAAGTAACTAGACACAAGAGGGAGACAGAGAAAACACAAAAAACTCTGACAATAATGATGGTTTGTTCTGTAGACTATCAAAAAAAAAACAAAAAAAAAAACATCAGCCTAAAGGTGCAGTAGGTGATCTGCCAAAATGCTAATCGGTTAGCATATTAGCTATGGACAGCAGGGGAGGGACTGTGTTTCAAAGCTACGCCTCCTGAAATTGCGAACGAGGCTAATTATTTTGTCCTTATAATGGCTTTTTATAAAATTAATAACTGATTTTATTCTAGCCGAAATAAAACAACTAAGACTTTTTTTCAGAAGGAAAAAATATTATCAGACATGAACATTTCCTTAAAAAAATGTTTCCTTAAAAAATAAAAAAATCAAAGGGGGGCTAATAATGTACGTTTCAAGACATCTTTACACGTTGTACAAGTGTACATATTTCTTCAGACATCTTTATTAACTGTGCAGTGAATGAATACATGGATTGGGGAAAAAACTTACTGTATACATTTCTAAATTGAAATTTGACTTTGTATCTCAAATCAACTTTGAACTCCTTTGAATGTATGACAAAACATGATTGTATTCTTTTATTAAGTCATGTTGGTTTATTATGCTTCTCAAACTAAATTTATTTCATTCAAATAATTACCCATGCTTTAATTTGGTTTAAGGTTATTTCAGTAGGTTTTCCACCAATTTATTATCTGCCATCTGAACAATCTGTTCAAGAGCCTTCAGTATCAGAACATCAACATCATCATCTGTGTCGATCTCATTATAGTAGTTCTTCACTGGGAAGATGTTTGATATCGACACACCCACTTTAGCACTGCACAGCTCAGTCACATATGTTGCATAACATCAAGTATGTTAAAGCAGTGTATAAAAGTGAAACTCATACATGTTGTGAAGGGTTGCATACTATCTTCTTGCTCGTGTAGAACCTTTTTAGGTCACTTTTGACTAGTGAACATGCTTCATCTGCTTTAGTCATGACAATGAATTGGGCAATGCCTATAGCAAATGCGGTGCTTTTCACAGAGATCTGATCTCAGCATCATTATGAAGCTGTGTGATGTCATGTGTGACGTAGGTTGGTAATTCGTCTATAATGCTGTTTGGATGCCATTTCATTCAAATTTAAATTCGATTAAGATGGATTAAAAATGGCATTTGTGACATTATATTACTTAAGACTTTAACACACTTTTTCAGCTTTATATTGAACATGAGCAATTTGGAGAGATATGTGGAATCTGTAGGAATATGTTACATCATTCTAGTTTATCCAATAGCCAATCACAGGTGGTGTTATGCAAAATAGAGTATGATGCTGCTGGGTATGTTTCTAATTTCTGCTTTTATTCATACTGTTGCATAAATACCCAACCATCACAGGAAACATGTGGCAAACTTTGATAGTCAAAAACAATTTTAACATCACATTTTATTCACATTTATTATTTGGCTGTACATATGACACAACACTACTAGATGCACCAGACACAACAGGGGCATAAAACTGTCTGGGCTGTGACACTGCTGGCCAATAAAACTGCCTGGGCCATAGATTTGCATGGCTTCAGATCTGCTGACACCACACAGCTTATGTTAACCCTAAGTGGGGCCATTTTGCAGGGTTGCCTACTTTTTGCAGTGATTGGTTGTCACCTGGCAGTTTTTGCTTGAAATTTGCATAAAGTTGAGAAATGGCAAAATTCTCTGGCATCCTCGGCTGTTCTTAACGCTTTCTCCATGGTGCTTTCAATGCACTGTGCTCAACTTCCATCTGAATGAACTGAAAATGATGGTTGCACTGCACTTTTAACTTGCCAGTGGAAACACTGTTCAAGCTAGTGAAATAATTCAACTAACTAGGCTACTGACACCTGTCACTTGTCTGTCACAGAACCAATACGATTTCTGGTAAACAACGTCAAATTTATTAAACTGTGGAAATACAAAGCAGCAACTACATTTATTTCAACATAATTTTCAAGACAGTTGTTTACACTGCTCATCGTTTATGAGAGCTTTAGATTTCTTTATTAACTGTTTTAGGAACATGCTGAAAACATACAGTATTGAAAGAAAAAAAACTATTAAAAATTTTATGTAATAGAGTGGAGGAACTATGAGGTAAATTTGTATGCAAAAACCTGAAGCGAGTTAGTATTTAAGCAGTTCCGGTTCCCTCGTTTTTAAAGTCAATGGGTTTTTACAATGTGATTTCAGTTAAATTGCCTAAATAAAGTTCGAGGCTAACACAAAATGAAGCTGCTTTCACCTTTTAATCTACGACAAAAAACAAATCAGTTACATCACATTATTGATTTTTCAAATTGGTGGCTCTTCTTTAAAAAGACGGTTGCTATCAAGTTGGTAAAAGGAACTTGAGGCGGTGTCGGTGACATACGCCATCGAGCTGAACGGGTTTGGAGCGCAGCCCACTTGCGTTGGGCATTTGGATTTGTCTGTTTTTAAAGTATTTTCATGAATAGTATTTTATAGTTTGTTGTATTTTTCTAATTGGAAATTCATATTGTGTGTAGATAATGCCTTTACATGTGAAGACTATCAAGACAGATTCATTTGTGGATAATTTATTTTAATTAAACGATATTATGAAGATACAGCCCACCAGTGCAGCCTGTCTCTCTTCTGCTCTCAGTAATGCAAATGTGTGAATAATTGTGTAAAAATACACACATATTAACTGTGATTTTAACGTGATCAAGTGATTTTTGTCGTTTTTTTTCTTCATCTGAACACATTTAACTCTGTCATAACTGCAATATTTACACTCCTCCATAAAATGTATGGCATATGTGACTTTATGGGCTGCTTTTCACTGTACTTCGTGACATAAAAAGAATACTGAATGTTGTTCTGTGTCCATGATGGAACTTGCAGGTATTTGATAGACTTGTTCCTCACGCCTCATTTCTGTCATCTACTATTAAGGTAAGCAGGCTGTATGCAGGCGAGCGATACACATTTAAATATGTCTAATAATAATACTATGTAGGCACATTCATACATACAGTTTTAAAACTTTTACAACAACCGTAAAGCAAAACAGATGTATTTCCCATGTAAAATACTCAAAAAGCACGTAGGTCTATGTGATTTTTGCGTATTTATTTGTTTATAATACAGTATATGGTGTTGATTATAATATAATAAACAAAGAGATTAACTCTTTGACATGGAGCATATTTCTAAAAATAAGCTTGAAGAGTTGTCTGTAGCAGGGTGGTGCTGACATCACAGGCGAGCGCCCTGAAGTCACTGAGTCCGTTAGCCTAATGTTAGCTTTTCAGTTCTTGCGTTTGCATTTAAGATCTAAAAGTTGTATTTTCGTGTGAGGATTATCCGGCTGGACAAAACATGTAAGTGTAATGAACAGTGTTTGAACACACAGCTTATTATTTACAATCTTCGAAAAGCCTATGGGAAAATCCTATAGGGATTTTATCAAGAGAACCAGTCTTATGCTAGCAGCTGATTAGCCTACAAGGGGACGTCATAGTTCCTCCACTCTACAGTTGTTTGATATTAAATGTGGGTTTACTTTATTCTTAATCTTTGTATTATTTGCAGATTTTTAATTAGACTGTAATAAAGCATTTCATTAGCTTTGAGCCCCTTTGTAAGACAAAACACAATCCTCTACTGAGTCATGTTAGCCTATTATGCTGTTCATGTAAAGAAAATGTATAACGTCCCATGCATTAATTACTGTCTAAGTAGTTTTCACGATCCAGCAATCTATCATCAGCAGTCTGAACAATCTGTTCAAGAGCCTTCAGTATCAGAGCATCAATATCGTCATCTGTGTCGATCTCATCATGGTAGTTCTTCACTGGGAAGATGTTATTCATCGGCACACCAACTTTAGCACTGCACAGCTCCATCTGGGCAGAAACAGAATACAAAATAAAATAAAACTCAGATAAATTCAGTGTGTTTTAGCAGTATATAAAAGCATAATACGTATCTGTGAATGATCGCATACCTTCTCTTTGATCTTCTTGCTGGTGTAGACCTTTTGTAGATCACTTTTGACCAGAGGACAAGCTTCATCTATCTTGGTCATGACAACCACTTGAGCAATGCCTAAAGCAAATGCAGATGCAACGTAAAAGAAAACATTTTTTTTTTTTCAAGCTGAATAGTTATAATGTTGGTGAGGCTCATGAATACAGTCATGAACATTCAGGGGTCAGCTTTACCCTTATCGCTGATTCTCTTGCGGATGATCTTCAGCTTTTCAATAAGTTGCTCATCTGAGAACTGGACTGTATTTCCATCTATGACGTAAACCAGGCAGAAAGACTGATCGGAGAGGCTGGGGTCACTGGTGTAATGTTGGTCTTTAAAACTGATTGATTGATCCTGGCTGAACTGCAATTTAGTAAAATATGCTAACATCACACACATTGCACACAAACAAATATTATGCAAAATGTTACATTCACAATTAATGGAGTGTTTGTTTGTTTGTTTTTACTTTATAGCCGTCTTTCACATGGCCAAACACAGCATTGATGATGTCATCTGTTTGTGATCCAAGCAATGCTTCAGCTTCTAAACCCATGATGTCCTTGAAGACGAAAGGCAGAGCTTTTTTCTTACTTCTGATGGTGAATCCTTTGAGCTACAATTATATAAAAGCAATTTTAATAGTTTTCAAAGTAATATTTATATAATCAGCTGAAATTCTCGCAAGTCATACAGAGTAACATTATGTAAAATGTAACAAATACTTACATTTCGTGTAAAACTATGACTGTCTCCATCACTTGCGTTAACTAGTGCTCTAGAGGAGATCCGTCCTAGAAAGGCATTGTTGATAGAATTGATAAAGCTGGACTTTCCTGCTCCAACTTGTCCAGCCACCAGGACCTTGATGTCTTTTACTTCTGGATCACTGGGAGAGAAGTTTTCCAGCTTTTCTTTCAGGGCTTCTTTTTCTCTGTCAAAGCAAAAGTTTCTGTTAAATACTATATATAACTTAATAAGTTTACTATCAAGTATTCACAATGAAATGAGCATTTTAAGGAACATGTTGCCAAACAGCACATTTAAAACACATATAAAAAATTATGATTTAATAAATAAATGAACAATAAAATTATGCACTTCATGAAATTGTAGATAATTTAGTCACACTGTATGTGTACATTTCTCTGTTCTACCACTGTATATGCACATATTTACATTATTCTCAACAGAGTAAATGTCTACAATTTAATATGTTTAAAAAAGTAAATATGCCAGTTTACATTTCAGTCATCTTTTGAAAAAAAATATTCATGTCAGGTCTAAATCATGTCATGGCAAAAACCAGGAGTAAAAACTAAATTTGCTGCAGTAGGAGAAGCTGTGTCAATCTTTTCTTCATTTAATAAACGACTTGCGCCTCAGAAGACAATCCTGACTTGCAGTGAACGTGCGGTGGCGTTTGAAGGCATGAGACGCGGAGCACAAACGCTCTTGATTCTGGAGGTCATTAATAACACTAATACTGAAATGGATAAGGCTTTTACAATGACCAAAACAAAAGTGTGGTCTGCCTGCTGGTTTGTCTATAGACACACATTTTTATCATCACACGATCTCTTATAACAAAACCACATGACTTTTTTTAATGCGCATACTGGAATTTGTAAGTGTTTCCATCTCAGTTTATGCACATCTTTTCTAATTGAATAAAAAGTTTATCCAAATAGGTTATGCGCATTCGATTTTATGCACATTTTCTAAATTTTTGTAGATCATAGCGTTTCCATCAACCGTTTTTTTATGCGCATATCCAAAATGCGCATAAAAATGGGTGGATGGAAACATAGCTAATGTGAGTTTGAATGCCATTTTACATTACATATATTGCTATATACTGAAAGCAGCAGCAGATAGTTCACCTTAGATCTTAAAAATAAAACAAACCATTTGAAATTGAACTTTAGAACTAAGCACATATGAGTGATGACTCAGCATCTACATTTAGTAATGTTAAAGAGGGTTTATATGTTTTAAATACATTATAAACATCAACTTTTCGTAAGTGAGTGCATATTCTGTGCTTCTAAGTGGCTGTATTTAAATTTCTGCCATGTTTCGTCTGGTGCAAAAACAGCCAAATTGTTTATCACTGCAAATATCGTCACGTAGCGTGTTGTTAGGACACGGGGTTACAATGTAACCTGCTGACCTGTTTATGCTCGTAATATTGTTATCATTTGCTAATTGATAACGTCATGTATGTGGAACTGAATCTGTCTCATTTCGGAGTCAGCTACTGTCCGCTAGAGGTCACATTTTGGTCACGGATGCAGTTTTCTATCAAGGCAACCCTAGGTGCTGAAATATAATTGGCTAAACAGGCATTTGGCAGGTTAAATAACCAAAACAAATACAGCGTTTCGGCACGGAAAAAAAAAAAAAAAAAAAAAAAAAACATTTTCAAAGCACAATATCTGATTTCAGCATTGTTTTTTAGATAAACAAGAATGTTCACTCAGCATCTTTCTTAAATATCTGCAAATATATTAATTGTCTGCCTTGAAAGAATAGTTTATGTACATACTGTATAGCTTACCCCCAGTTAAATTTCCTCCATGGTTTATCCAGTTCTATGGGGGAAAACACATTGTTCATGTTTATAAATATGTTCATTTTTCAAATAGCAAATATTATTTTTTAATGTATATTTGTATTTACACTGTATGTTTGTATTTCATTCACATATAGAGCTCATATAGAGCTCAACCTGTGCAGAGCACATGCCCTCTGAAGTCAAACTAACTATGTTACCGTGTACAGTGCATCCAGAAGGTATTCATAGCGCTTCAGTTTTACACTTTTTTTATGTTACAGCCTTATTCCAAAATGGATGAAATTCATTTATTTCTTCAAAATTTCTTTATACAATACACCATAAAGATAATGTGAAAAAAAGATTTTTTGAAATTGTTGCAAATTTATTACAAATATTTTGCTTTTTTTTTATATTTCACACGATGTCTAACAGAGTAAAAACATTTTCACAGTATGTCTAAAAAAATTTTTCTTCTGAAGAAAGTCTTATTTGTTTTATTACGATATATATATATATATATATATATATATATATATATATATATATATATATATATATATATATAAACACATACACACATATATATGTATGTCCGGCTGTATGTCCGGCTGGGTCAATTGGTGTAGAGTTTGCATGTTCTCCCAGTGTTCACGTGGGTTTCGTCCGGGTGCTCCGGTTTCCCCCACAGTCCAAAGACATGTGATACAAGTGAATTAAGTAAGCTAAATTGTCCATAGTGGATGAGTGTGAATGAGTGTGTGTGGATGTTTCCCAGAGATGGGTTGCAGCTGGAAGGGCATCTGCTGTGTAAAACATGCTGGATAAGTTAGTGGTTTATTCCTCTGTGGCGACCCCAGATTAATAAAGGTACTAAGCCGAAAAGAAATGAATGAATATATATTTGACTCTTACCTGGATTTGGTTTTGGTGTTGATGGTTGATATGATGGCTGTGTTGGCTGTGGTTTCTCTGGTTGTGATTTTGATGATCCCATTTTTTTAACCCTTGAATCTATCAGCTTGATCCTGGTACACAGTTGACTTGTTTCACTGCAAGGAAATGAAATCAGGCCAATACTAGAACAGTTTTATATATCAGATTGGTTTCAGTTTCACTCACATTGAGAGACCTCCTCTAACACGCACGCGCGCACACACACACACACACACACACACACACACACACACACACACACTTTCTCTTTCTCTCTCTCTGCGCTCTTTGACCAACATTTTGGTAACATATTTTTACATGTATATTTTTTCAAACATAAGATACATCACACACCTGTTGTAAATGTTGTACAGGACACTTTTTTTGGTTGCAGTTCTAATGGTAAAATTAAAATAAATGTGCACTCTATACCTCAATGACTAAGGAAAACAGCTTTAATTAATAACAAATTCAATGACAACATCACATCTGGAAAATCCTGATAAAGTACACTGTACACTAATAGAACTAAAGGTTCTGTAATGGTTAAGTTTCCTGAAGAACATTTTACAACCATCTTTTCCATTCCACACAAAGTTCTTTATAATTGTAGGTAACATGGACAGTGGTCTTAAAGTGTGTGTCTCAGAGAAGTTTTGTGCCTGTGAGCTTTGGACTTTGACTGGACTATTTTGCACATTGGTTTGTGTGTTTTTTTTTTTCATCTTTAGTTCTGTTGTAGATTTGCTTCTGTGCTTATAATCATTGTCTTGCTCCATGAGTTGAGTTTCAGCTAAGCATTTCAGCTAAGCAGGCATTGGGTTCACACACACCTGAACGCTCCAGACTAATAAACTTTTAAAACCTCTGCTGATGATTAGGCATTTGATTAGCAGTGCCTGACTTATTTATCTTGTTAATCTTAGATGTTGTTGTTGATATGAGGTTTTATTTTCTGATTTGTAAGATCAACCAAAGGTCAGCTAATTTTAAAGAAAAATAAAACGTAATAGTGTCTTTTTCACTATTTCACATGGTCCTCTCTTTCTTTTCCCCAAATATCACAAATAATATATCCCTAAAAAATCCATTTGTCAAATTATAGAATTATATAAAGATGAAAAAAAAAACTGAAACAGAAACAGAAACCGATACCGTTCATAACAGGGTTACAAGATCTGGGTGCATTTATTGGAAATGAAAACAGAAAGGGGTTTAAGTGATTTTATATTGCACAGGCATGCCCTCCAGTTCACGAAAGTAAATGGACTCATAAAAGACAAGATAACAGATTATTTATATTAACAAATGGGTATTCAGTTGCACACTTTTCTGGAACAATGGTTCTAAAATGGTTCCAATGTCAATTTTTTTTTATAG